TTATGATAAATGGAAGCTGTCTCCGACTGATGAAGCACGTAGCTACTGCAGTGCAATGCGAAATTGTTTAAGACTAGCGGGTGCGTTTCTTTTTGCTTTTCGAAACTTTCTACAAGGCTGCTGCAAGCCTTGCTTTGCCTTTGGCTAGTAATGAATTCCCACTTTTAATGTCTCCAAAAAGACATTGAGACATCCCACAAGTAAACAGTGCTGTGGGCGTTGCCGGGCAATTCCGAAAAACCGCTTGCCACCGTTTTACTGGTACCCGACGTGCCAGATTTTGGTAAAAGTAAGCAAACGTAAAGCAGTGGGTTGCAAGCGTCCCGGCTGGTGCCTCTGTCGTGCAGTAATGTTCGCATGCACATGAGGGCAACTTCGGCAGGCTTCCATTGACCACGTAAGTGACTACGTCTCAACATGGCGTGTCCAAAAAAAGAAAACCGTTGCTAGGGACCATGCTATGGACTAATGCACAGTGACTCCACATGAGGCCAGATTTTTGCTTACAAGTAAGTAATTTTTTGTAAGCAGCCTAACTTCCTGATATCTATTTATGAAGATGTTCTTCTCGTATCAGTGTCGTATTGCAACGATGTAAGCCATTTCTGAAGTATTACACTCTGCTCTGCCAGCAGACGACACGATAGATTTGCTGGCCTCTGTTGCAGCGGGCGTCTTCATTGAATTGCGTCGGTGAAGGAGCGACAAAAACAAGTGAATCACCATGGCCGCACAGGCCTCTGCAATGTGCTCTTTGTTTTTCTGCGAAGAACTCAGCTTCGTTCAGACGGATGAAAATGCTTTAAAATCAAACCACGTCATGCAGATCAGTTACGACGACGACCCGAAGTGCATTACCGGTGTAGTGCAGGCCAGCATGTGAAACAAATCGTACGCAGTCCAGGTAAGTCGTTTGCTATTAATATTGAGGTTGTCAGGTTATTAAAGAATTGCATGTCTATCGCGATTTCGCAGTATACTGCTTCTTTTTTTTTTTTTCTCGGTATACACCGAATTCCGGGAATGCGCTCTTTTGGTGAAGATCTCCACCGAACCTGCGATGCGAGTGCAATCTGTAAAAAAAACTCGCCCTATGTTTTTATCCAGTTATTTCGCGCTTTGGGGTCTTGCGGAAATCGGAAGAAACTGCAAGTATCTTACTCCACGCGTTGGTTACAACCATCTACGAAGCACCCTCCCATAGCGCGAGTCCGCAAACAAAATTTGGGATATCAATTGAACGCCTGAACTGCTTTTCTCATGGGTGCAATGCGGTCTTTTATCAGACGATAATCTCGATCGACGCCCGGACTTTCGGTAAACTATATTTTGCATCGCACCCCACTATGAATTCTTATAAGTGTCTGAAACTCATTATATTTCAAACAAATGCAATATCAGAATATCGGCTTTATTCACACAATGCAGACGCCGGCGCCGGCTTGACCGGCGGGCGTGTGGCAGACGGCATACTACTTGTATTCGTCGTCTGCTGCAGGCATCTTGAAGACCTGAAGTTGCAGTCGTAAATAATTCAGAAACCAGCGATTACCGGCACACTTCTGTCGAAACATATATGGCATTCAAGCTTTTTATATCTGTGATTTTTAGAAGTTTAAATCCTACTCCTGATTTTTGAACGGTCGGGTTTTTGTAGCGAAACCTAGCCACATGTATTTGTCCATAACAACGACCCTAGCAACGTTTTCTTTGGACCCATCACGTCACACTTACGGAGTCAATTTGCACGTCCTTCGTCGCGCGAGCAAAGATGGCTGTTCGATCGAAACAGACACAATGCCACTCCGCTCTTTCGCCTACTGGTTCCCAAAATTGTATGCAAAATGTAATTGCCCAGCTTACAACAAAAACAGATCAGCGGCACGTGCTTGCCAGGCCGGCAAGCAAGGTACAAGCTAAACAGACAGAAAAAGAGAACCTGAGCGAGTCAGGTCAAAACAAGCCATCGCGAGTCAGGGTCAAAAAGTACTTGGAGCGCTTTGTACAACTACTGAAGCACTGAAGCGCAGTGTTGCCAAACGGAGAAAAAAAAAAGTCAGCAGATTGATCCCCAAAAAGTCAGTAGATTTACACAAAAAATCAGTAGATTCTACAAAATCTCTGTTTTGCCATGTCTTGCTATTTCTATTTAACCACACTTCGAAGAAATAGCATAGGGTAAAAAACAACACGGTAATAAACGCAAATAGAAAAGAAAAACAGTTTTCCAGTAATATTTTTATGGAGGCCAAAATAAAATAACACCGTAAATGTTTTTTTTTTTAGCATTAATTGGTCTAGCCATTTCAAGGATTTTTTTTTTTGAAATGGATTGGATACTCAGTATCTTTTGGGATCAACAGATGAGGGCGACAGTGCGACATCCACCTATCGCTATTATTGAGACGAGACCAAAACAAGACGTTCCGGCAAGTACATGTCCAATGAAAGATCTCTCCAAGCTGCCGTCTTTCCTTACCTGGCAGTGGAAGGTTTTTGACGCAATGATGTCAGCGCGGAGCACTCTTGAGGCTACGCGTTGTCTGCTACGGGCCTATTTCTTTTTTGCCTGACTCAAGGTTTGCGTTCGAACGTGAAGAAACTTAATTCGTTAGCTTTTTAAGCCACCAAGCAACAACATTATATCATTTTCTTGCCCGAGTCTGAGAAATAAAAGTAAAGAACCGAAAGTTGGGTGTTGTCCCAAGCATTCCGCCGGGCGAATGAACGAAAATTGCAGCCTTCTCCGCTCAGATGGGATTCGGGAGCCTCGGGAGCAGCCGAGGGTTCACGCGCATGCGCTCACGCCCCTCGCTCTCTGCCGCAGGCATATTGGCTCACTCGAGAGGGGGACGTTACGACGGCGAGATCATTGACTGGCCAAACTCTCCCTATATATGGCTCTGGCCCAGATGTCACCGTCGAACCTGCTCTGGGTGAATAGATAGATAAATATACGGCTAAGTCACTCGAATAGGACGGGCTTCTGGGCCATCTAGCCAGTGCTTCGTTTTTAATTCTGGGAGAATATGAGTTTCCTTTGATGGGCGACCCTGGGAACTGAAGGGGTCAAAATGTAAATTTTAATATGTTAACTAATAAAAAATCAGTAAATTTTCTATTACTTCAGTGAATCAGTAGGCCTGGAACGAAATCAGTAGATCTACTGATAAATCAGTAGACCGGGCAACACTGCTGCAGCGTCAACACACGCCCGCGTCTAACATTGAAAATGTAAAAAAAAAAAAGACGCGAGACGAGACACATGAACGACGAGAGCATGAAACGAGAGGTGGCGGGAAAAAAACTATCCAAGACCGGATGGACGATTGATACAGGGTACTTTTTGTTGGGCGGCCGCTTGCGCTACCTAGCTCATGCATGCACAATTACGGTACTTAGTTTAGTTTCGGTTTTGAAAGACGACCAAAATTGGTCTTTTGGCGCAGGCTTGGCGCAGATTACCCATATTTTGGCAAAATGTAGCAGGATGTAGCAGGGTTGGCCCCTTGGCGCAGTTTGGCGCCATTGGCGCAGCAATCACATCACTGCAACCGACAGTCACATTGGCCACTGTACGATAGGAGCTTACTGTTCAGACCAGCGTTTCAACATTACTATCCGCACGTCGATCGATTGCACCTAATCTTTCAAGTTGTCTTAAACTTTTTAATGTAAAGCGGAATGTCAACCAGTGACACCCCGCTCCCTCTGATCACGGCCCGACCAGCGGCATCAATGGCCGATAGTTTACGTCATCGCATCTTGTTGTTACACCACTGACACCCGAACACACGGTCACATCGGCGATAATTCCTCTCTTCTGTTCACAACCCACAACACTGCCATCACGATATAGCTGCTCTGCTGCTGACACAAGGTATATGTATGGGTGGTAGCGGAGCTTCCATAGAAGCCCATAGGCGCACAGATGGCGGCTCATGGGGCGCAGCGCCATCTGTTAGTTGCGCGGCATTGTCATTAGTCATGCTTGCCCGTGACGTACAGAAAGTGACGCTTTATTAGAAAGAAACAAAGAAACACGATATGACGCATTTTCCTCAAGATTGTGACGTCACGATTGTGTTTGGCGCGAAATTTAAATGATTTTCGCCGGTGGCTCGAAATTTAAAGTTTTTCAGAGGTTCTACACGCCTGCGTCCTTCAAACCTTGCTTCACGCGTAATACAACGTAATAGCCAACCTTGTAATAGCCTTGTTTGTATCAATCACTCCCATGTATTCCCTCTTCCAAAAGAACCGGTTTTTTATCAGTTCTGGGAACCACCAATAAGTTACTATCTTCTTCAACTAAGCAGTGTGTTACAGCACGCTTATAAGGCATACTTATTATTGTAACAACTGCTTGTTCGCCAAAAAAGACAAAAAAGACAAAAAAGGCACAAGCTTGGTTTACACAATTTATTATATACAAACTTACAACACCACCATTGAACACTTGAAGATAGATATGGCGTTAAAAACGAAGTGAAAAGAGGTCTGGACAACTCTATGCACGCACTTAATACTCTCAACAGGAGGCACGTTCACGCATTTATCTTGCACTGTTCACGTTGAGAGCTCGTAACTAGATTTAACTATATCAATCACAAGTGGAAGTGCGGGCAAGGTCGGGGCTATGCATGTCTTTTGCATTTGAATGTCCATATGAATTAATGCTTCAAGAGATTGAAAATTGAGAAGTTTCGTTATAGCACATGCGCTCGCCCCAAGCATATTGTGCTCCACACCTTGGCTGTCTATGTGAGCGTTAGGACGCAGGAAACTGCCACAGAATGACAGGAAAGAAAGCATTAGAAAAAGGATAATAATTCGCTCTGTGTCAAATTGTTAACACCATACTGACTCACTGATTTACCTTTCATCGCAGTTTGATATACTTTTGTATACCTCACACAACCAAACATTAATCCAGGTTGACGTTTCAAGTCGGCACACTGCACAAGAAAACATCGAGGTCAACACAAGTCAACACTTGTTCTCACACACTCCTCAATAATGCACAGGGTGTCTACACAATCCAGTATGCCAGCGTGATCGTTGAATGCAACACGTAAGAGGAACTAAAGGGACTTCCTGTGGGCATAACGCAAGCGGTGTCTCATCTGCACAGCCTCTGGACTTGTTGCTTGGTTTTGCGTCTCGGAGCTGCATCAAGGAGCTCAGTATTCTTTTTACGGGCGAACCAATGAAGCCTCACCCTTGCAAACAAAGCAAATAAATCGGCATAGACATCCTCACTGCGGAGAGTCTGCAGCTTTTCGACCTTCTCATGAAGAGTGATGCACAACGCCTTCCCAACGCCTTCTTTTAAAACAAGACTGTCGATTGACGCCACAAAAACCTTCTCACAAGCTTGAACGAAGGAAACAAAGCAAGGTGAAGGGATCGAGAGGCTTCCAAAGTCTCCTTCAGCCGTTCCTTTCACACTCAAGTACAACAACACTTGGCTGTCATCAGAAAAAGTGGCATTCTTGATTTGAAATTCACATTGCTGAGTCACGTTTTGACCTGTATGATATTTGACAAACCTTGTTACAAGCCATCCAGCAAAGTAAACAATGTTGTTAAGTGATAGTAAAGAGGGATAACTACAGGATCTGCGGTCAGCTGCACATTGTGGAAGTGAGCTTCCGAGACTAAGAGAAGCTAAGGGAGCTGAGAGACCAACCGGAAGAGCCGCTAAAAGAGTTGCTATGTCCTCTTCGCAGTTGCTCTTGTCAGACAGTTTAAACAAGTTGCTAACTAGGAGATGCCCAAAGGCTGCCTGAAACTGCCGGCAAGAGGAATTGGCGTTCGCACCAGACTTTGACCTTATTACGGATAATGTGTTCTCGAGTGCATCTTGGTTGAGATGGCGAGTCGGAAGGTATCTGAAACCATACTCAGATGTCAGGTGCTCATAAATCAGCATAATAGACCGAATGGTCAAGGAGAAACCGCGAAGGCAAGCAGGCTGCCGTGGGCACCCAAGAACGGTAAGGTTTTCGAACATAAGAAGGCATTCTTTCAGAAACTCCTTGTGAACAGAGCCTTCATGCATTGTGGACACATATGCACTCTTCCCGCGTTTCTGTGAGCTTTTCAAGCTATCAAAAAGACGATCCATTTTTTCAATAAACCGGGCCGTGTGGATAGCTTCAACTGGCAGTTGCTGGAAAGTTACCATGGCAAACATTGCAACAGCACAGTGATTACTGAATATTTGCGCTGCTAGTTTCACTGGCATCTTGGAGGCAAAAGTCAAATTAAAATGCTCCTCACTGAGCCTTGGCATGGATCGGATTTCAAGTTGATTGTCTTTTTCGTAGGCTTCCCCGAGGAAAGAGCTTCTCAACGTGTGGTCCCCAACTTGAATATTCTACTTGAAGAACATATTTCGTAAGCGCTTCAGCAGATGTGGAACATCAAATAGAAAAAAAAGTGGCTTCTTATTCACAGTTACGTAGGGCTTTCTCAGGGGTAAGAAGGCCATTAAAAAGAGCTACATTTTGATTGCCTTGGTCACATACGACAGCTACTGGCTCCAGGCCGGCTTTCACAATCAAATTGTGGCACTGGAAAAGAAGGTCACGCAAGATGTTGGCAGGTGTTCCCCTATGAGCAAAAAAATAGCCAAGTGGCTGCTTCCATGGCGTGCGAATGCCTTTAGCCATAAACACAAGAGATTTGTTTGCAAGGTTATGGCCTCTTCCAGTGTTACTTTCTTCGAGCCCTTCAAACCTGTCCACAGAGGAGTTGTACGAGAGCTCTTTCGTGACGTGCATCTCGTCAAAGACAATAATACATGGTTTGTCTTCTGGTGAAAAAGAAGCTGCACGTCTTTTGACTAGTTCGAAAACTTCTGGGTAAAAACCAACTTTCAGGGGAACACGCTGAAGCCAAAGCTGTAGCGACCTAACGGATGGGAGCCTCAACAATTGCCTACAGTACCGGTAACCCTTAGGGCTGTGAAAGTACAAGCCCAAGGCAAAGGCTTTGTTCTGGCTGCACCACCGCCTGCCAAACCTGCTTGCATTGGTCATCTTCAGCTGAGCTTCCACAAGGGCAGCAACGGCTGGAGACACAAGGCTACGTACATTTTCAACTTTCAACACTTCAACATCTTCCCCTTGCCCTCGGTGCTGGTGGCACAAGACCCTGCAAGGGGAAAGCAAAAGCAATTATGAAACATTTCGAGAAATAATGAAATAAACCATGTGCCTCCACTGTAGAAGGTGTAGAAGTACATGCAAACTTTGTGCATCATGACGGACACGTACGTTGGTGAGGAACCGCAGAAGTCGAAGACACCGATGCATCGTAATCGGTAGGGGAAGGTTCAGGCGCCCACACATCGTTCCCTCCAGACGGCGGGCCATGTCCATTACTCGCGCCTTGCACCGCGTATGTGTGATCCACTACAAGAAACAAAACAAAGGAAACAAAGTGACAGCGTGGTTGCAGAAAGCTGAACCAGCTATGACTGGTCAAGTACTACGCAACAAAGTAATCTTCAAAGACTATACTAAACAACGCACACTATGAAAACTTACCATGAACTCTGGTTGGAGGGCTAGTCTTCGTGCCAGACGTCAGTGCCGTGAGACTGCTCCCCACATCTGCAAAGCAATGACGAGGCAATTAAAAAATCTGTCAAAAACATCAGTCATTGTATTGTTTCCTGCGGCATGTGACAAGCTGTAGCCCGTTGCAACCTAAGAACGAAGGGCGAGGGTAGGACGGGCCGGGGAGGAGGAAGCAGACGGAACGCTGGAGAAGAGAGAGGAAAACCTCCTTCTCTGATTAGCATTCCGTCTGCTTCCTCCTCCCCGGCCCGTCTTACCCTCGCCCTTCGTTCTTAGGCTGCAGCGGACTATAGATTAAAAACATGGTCATACATGTTTTACATGTTTCTCAAGGATGGCTACTACACGACAGTCCGAAATATATAAGAAACACGGCCTACAACAGTTCTCCGCGAATATGTAATTGCTTTTATCTTGTTCCGTAGTGCGGTGCGTGTGACACCGTGATGATGTGGGCCCATCGGTGCTACTGCTGCTGGCCAGTGTGGGCTCGCCCTCGCTAGTCAATTGGCGAAGGCTGCTGCACTGGACGGCATCTCCGGCACCTATGCAAAGTTAAACACACACGTTATGTACACTGAAACAGTTCCCTGCATCTGCATGAAAAATACTTTGAATAAGCTTGCCTTCTCAGTAATAATGAAAACCATATTTCGTGCTCACCTTCAGTAGTCAAATATGCTGGCAGAGCATCACGACGCAGCCTTCCTCGGTAAAGAAATGCAGAGGGTTTGAAGTGCCTGGAGCATACCGCCCGTTCCCGCAGCTGCTGTGGTGTCTTGTTCTGTAGGCTTGGGTTCCGGCAGAACTCAACCCAGACCCTCCGCCTGAATGTGAAGCAGTGTATTACTTTGAATACCCTGGGCTAAAGTGGATATTTAAGAAAGAAACAAGATTTCACAATAATGTTAGCGATAAACTAGTGACATCATTGTACTTGGTACCCGTCTGGGTCCAGCGAAGGCCATGAGCGCGGAGCACACCTTTGTGCCTGTGAGGTTAGATTGGTTCACAACGCAGACGATTACATTACTAGATTCTCGAGCACGACATCCACAGCAAGTAGACTTGATAGTCGCCAGCATGTTAGAGGGATGACACCAAACACGTTCCAAGCAGAAAGGACGTTTCAGTGTTCACACCATATTATAAAAGTTCGTTAAAACTGAAATGTTCAGTCATTGTTTCTTATTAGGTTCTTGGGGTCACGCAGCCGTTCAGCAGAGGTCAAGCAAAGCCGCCACTATTATCTAATATTAGTTTCGTCTCGCGCAGCTTGGAAGGGAGACTGGGCCCAAAAAAGCTCGATGTTGCATGCATGCAAATGAGCATGCATGAGTGCCCATAGAAGAGCTCAAGATCTTACCAGACATCACCGGACAACGGACATCAGGACATCACACAGAGTTGCAACGGACACAGCTGCTACAAGCTTCACCTTGCAGCGTCTACAGGAAAACGATGAAGTGTGATGCCAGCGGTGCAGTCATCACTTCGGCATCGCGCTACCGCGCAGCGCCTCTTTACATGGAGCGGGCGCATCGTCCCGACGAACAGAACCTTGAACGCGCCCGTTGGGCGCTCGACGACAAAATCCGCAGAACGGCGCAATAGGATTCAACTAGTGCAAACCGTTCGTGGGAAAACTTAAGACCACGAAGTCGTTTTAAACGATTGCAAAATGAAAGTTCGACGGGAGCTACAGAAATGTAGGCACTCTGGCGAACGCGAACAATGCAAACACTAGGCGTATCCGGACTGCGAACTTCTGCCGACGGCGAAACATAGCGACGTTGTAGATGTCGTAACGAGTATGCACAACATAATACATATTGAACATAACCTGAAAAATTCACCACTCTAAACATGTTTAAACTAAGTTATTATTAATAAATGATACTTTGATTTAAAGTCAACTATATTAGACACCGAAAGTGTGTCTTTAATATTTTATCAGCTTAGTGTTTGGCCGCGCAAAACATAGTCGCGCTGCGGTAGCGCGGCCTCCAGGGTGATGACGCTGACGATTGGTTTTAGGCCGCTTTTTGCTCCAGTTTCGCGACCTATATGTATTGACCTTGGCTGACACGCAGAAATACAGAACCACGTTGAATGCCGGTTGGCACTCGGCATCGGAAAACAGAACCGAACTCAGCACGGTAGGCACCCAGGCAGCCGGCAGCAAAGCCTGCCTGTCTTGGACACAGTTCTTGCGGTTTCCATAACTTCGAAAACGTCGAAACAGTTCCGGGTGGTTCCGCTACTGTAGTACCGCGTAGGTCCAGCAATCCGGAGACGGCCATCTTACCCAGTGTACTTAGCGCTGCTGGAACTGCTCCGGAACTTCGCTGTTTCTAGCGGCTTCGTTTGCTCGTTTGATAAAATTAGGGTTGAAAACGTCAATTCAACCGAATTGTTCTGCACGTTTGGACTAGAAGAGGGAATCACAGGCGGCCTTCGCTGCCGCTGAAGCTCAATCAACTCAACAACATTTATTTAACAACGTGCGCGACGTGCTCGAAAAACGAAACCGAAAAAGGATGAGTCGCGAGAACGAAAGCTTTCTCCCATCTGCCTGGAAAAGGAGAAAAACGTTCGTTCCTCCCTTTTTCTCGTGTCCGCTTGGGGGCGCATCAGTAGAAGGGAGGAAGACGCGCTGTGTCGACATTTTTCCTCCATTTTTTCTTAGAATGCAGGAGCAACGGAAAGCGGTCGTCGGACCGGTAACAGTGACTGGTGTCTAATAAGGGACGTACCTGCAGTAAGAGGAAAGATAGCCTGATGAGCATGTTGCACGTCGTGCCGCTGCCGACCTTTCCACTGAAGAAGCTGTCGATGTTTCTGGTTCTTGTAGTCTCAGTTGATGACGTCGATGTCCCACGTGGCCTTCCGATTAGCCATGACATTGGGCGCTCGTTTGAGGAAGCGACCGTGGTGAGGTTGCAGAAAGGCGTCGAGATCGGCTGGGTCATCGCTAGACCGCTGCCCTCGTGTGTGGGCGCGTGCTCGAAGCCGTGCCCAGAAGCGTTGATAGTGGTTCCATGTGGCAACAGCAGAAGCTGCACAAAGACGAAAGATAGCCTGGTAAGCATGTTGCACGTCGTGCTGCTGCCGACCTGCCCACTGAAGAAGCTGTCGATGTTTCTGGTTCTTGTAGTCTCAGTTGACGACATCGATGGCCCACGTCTTCCGATTAGCCATGACATCTGGTGCTCGTTCGAGCCTACTTGCGCCCTCATGTTTTTGATGGTTATTTTAAGACAATAAAAAAGACAATGCGATAAGTTCAACTTCAAAATTGTTGTTTTAGTGATAACGCATATTTTTATGGTAGAAGCAGAAATAAAAATAAATATAAAGTGTTGTTACTATTTTCAGGGTGCTTTAAGAGAGTTGCCGTGTTAGAAACGGGACAGATCTAGGCAGCAAACATGGCACCTGCATGTCGCATGGGGTTGTACTTTATTATATTAAATGCAATAAGAAAAGAAAAATACCGTGACACTTTTAAAAAAGTCCTAAGAAACCGGACGTATAAACTTACACGAATCTATAGCAACATGGCACCTGCAGGATATATGTAAATATGTTTCCTTATGACAGAGGCAAAACGAACAAATGGGAGCAAAACACCAATGCCATTTCCGAAGAGCTTTACGAA